CCCTTTAAAACAAGTACAGCAATAATTCTCGGTAATGGGGACGTTAGCAACATTGTTCACTCTAGAACAATACTACTGTAAGTTCAGTGAGAGTCGTTATCCGTGTTATTATATTCATAGTGAACATCAATAAGTTTTATACGGGTTTAGAAATTGGAAACTATTCCTTCATCTTTTACTCAGACGAGTGAAACCAGATAGACCACAAAAATTGTGAACACCACAGGGACCCTTTCACATTTAAAAACATGGTTATACACTCTACATGTACAGCACGCATTTCTTATATACGAATACATCGAGTGAATCACACCAACATGTACGGAGATCCCGATATGTTTATTTCGTGCTTCACGTGAATTTAACACCACATGAGGGCGTCCTGAACAACGATTGGCGTACTTTGACACAAGTACGCTGTTTTTAATACCCGACTCTAAAACAGTACATACAGTTTGTACGTCATTGTAATTAGTTTTAATTTACGACCTGGCACCCCTAAATTATTATATGCTACGTCTGTACCTATCAATGTTGTCCACCATGGGAAGAAGTACGGAACAAATAGGGGAATTTTTATTTTTCCTTGACAAATTCTCATGTCAATAATGATGGTGTTGTAGCAAACTCGAACATCAAATTTACATGGGCGTCTAAACACTGTCTAAATCCACTATGGGACTCATTTTGTGGACTGTAATCGCCTGTTGCCCCACACCCCCTCTATCGGTGTAAACATTGATAGGCGCATCACTGTCATCCAAACATGGCAAGAACCAACTATGAGCAAGACCACACAATAATTTTCCGTTGCGTTACGCACGCGATGAGTAGTCTGGAACGCAAAGAATTCTCGTCTTCATCTTATTTCCTGTTGCTGACTCTTCTTCATAATAATATGATTTCTCTGATAGGTCCAATAATTGAAAGGTTAACAGATTCTTCAAGGACTTCCAGACAGGAAGTCATATCTGATCCAAGATTGGTGTACGACAGAGAATCCGAACAAAACACAGTCCTTGATGACGAGTCTGTACAAAAAGGGTATGTAAATATAAGTTGTAAGTTGCAACTACCCAGAATTCCGGAAACACATCATCCTATCATGTGACAACATGTTGAAACTCTAATTTAAAAGAATAACACAACTTGTTTCGATAAATCAATCTACCCCTCCGAAGAGTCCTATTTGTTAAACAATGAACGGAAATATCTGACTGTACTGCATTTTTCTTTTCCCTCTATACAGTTGGTTGAAGCGGCGGAATTGTTACGGGTTCCCGTATTACGCACACGAAAAAACTGGTGAAGAAACATGGGAGAAACCTATTGTGCTTCCTAAGGGGTGAGTTTTTACAGAAAGTGGACAAATGTCGCGTGATATGTGTGTCTCAGTACGTCTCAAAATCTAACATCTTGTCCATCCTCGTTGTGCTATATTTAGAAGGTAACATTATAACGACTGTAAAATCTTATTAAAAATATTAAACATTACTAAATAACCATGGTATGCTTTTCTGCGCGTGTGGACAACATGCGCAGACGATCAAACTACAGTATTTTCAGGTTACTTCTTTATGACTTTTCAGTGATTTGCTATGAATCCCACGGAAGTTCCCCCCACACGTACAACGAACTGCGACACTATCTCAAAACCATAAGTTATAAATGTGTATGTTGACCGAATCAAACGATCACACTCACTATGATCGAGTGATAATCACGTAAGCAAGTTTAACGCCATTGTTTGATCTGAAGTAACGTAGTCACGAAGGTGTAGTCGCTTTGAAATTTAGGCATTAATGGTTACTGTGCGCATACGTTGCGAATGGACTAAAAACTAGCCTTACGCTGCTGATTGGCCTGACATGTAGGCGTGAGAGGCGCCCTCGCCGGCCGAACGGCTTCGGACCTCACTGACCTGACATGTAGGCATGAGTCACATTATAGGCGTGAATAACAAATAAACTCTGCCGTGAATGGTTGCTCTTTGATGGCTGTCACTATCTGACGTTCCTGCAATTGTATTGGTACCGACAACAAATCGTCGGTAGAAGTGAAAAAACTCCGGGGAAAAACTACATCGTTTTGCAAGGCTTGTGTTGGATTTGGAGCACCGCGGAGGGCGCAACTCACGCGACCTTGTATGGCTAACTGTTGATGTAATCGAACAGTTTTTCACGTGCAATCAGAAACCCTCAAATGATTCATTATGAGAATTGGTAACTATAGCAATGACCATATACATTAAATCAAATTTTTAGATACATTGCCCCCAATTTCTGCGATTCCTGACCTATCCATAAACACACACATCTATCCCAAACAATCTGCCTTGGCAACGCGTGAGACCTGCCTTGGCAACGCATTGCCGTTTTTGATTTATTTTATGGCGTCAAACGAAACGTTTTTATGATATCTGCCGTTCTGATTAGCGCGTTTCTCATTTTATCTTTGATAATTGAACTATCTCGATTGGCGCACTGGGTAAATATATTGAATTATATTCACAGATGGGAAGAGCGTGACGACCCTAATGGGTTCCCATATTATTTAGATTCTAGGACGGGATTTATCACTTGGGAAAAACCGGAAGTTCTTCCATTTGGGTAAGATACCGTGACATTCATATTACAGTGTATGATAGAATTGCCAACGTTCTAACATGGACGTTTAAATCACACAAACTATAAAAAACAACTCAAGGATCTTATAAGTACTTATATTCGACATATGACAAGTAAGTCTGGAACGAGACTTTATTTAATACTAAAGTCTTAACATCAAACTGAATTACAGCAGGAATCGATTCAGTTCAAGTTCAACATGAGCAGTGTGCAACATTTTATTCTGTGCTTACCATAACAATAATTATCTTACAAAAGTAAGATTGAATAAACAATGTTCATATCAACTAACTGGTGGGGCGTGTTTATCAACACCGGGAGAAGACTGTCCAATCTCAAATCCACCGATCTTGCGCCCTCACTCGACCATCAGGTATTTACTCCAACAACCGACAGCGGGCGGCATGCAAGCAGTCTAACCTTAAAACTATACACGAGTATAAACTTCAATTCCTAGCGATGTAGATCATGTTGTTCATGAGATTTTTTTTTTTCAGATGGGAAAGGCAAACTTCAAACGATGGTCGACTATATTATTTACATTATCACAGCAACCTGTCTACATGGGATAAACCCGACCCTAGCACATTACAAATGCTACAGACATCAAATTAAATAGAGAACTAATAATATGAATATTCATCATTCTAATAACCGAGCTGAAAAATTCAAATGACGCCACCACCGGTCATATGAAACAATTGTGTTACCTTTCGTTTCAGAGGCGTACGCTGTAAAACGTTTCAGTAAGTTTTTTAAAGCATAGGATTATATAGTTGGTCCTATTTGTCCCGTCATTCATTGCGACATATTGTCTCACATGATCAGAACGAGGGGAACATGTCACAGATACACAAGACGTGAGAATAACAGTTTGAATGAAGATAATTGTGCATATTATGAGACGTAGGTTGGATGATAAATACGAGTACACATTCCATGACACGATGTTGTAACTTTACCCGCCGTTTTACGGAAAATGGCGCCATTGTTTAAACGCTTTACTTATAATGTGTTTTATTTTTCAATGGCGTAGATTATATTATTATTAACATTTTAAAGCAAACTTACACATTTAAACATTCAAATCTGTGTAGGCACATTACTATTTTGATACAATCAATATTTTCGCTCTATTTTTAAAAAATATTTGAAAAGATTACTGCAAAGTCACACACCAAAATGTTATTGATAAGGTGTACACGGTCCATCGACGAAAAAATCTTTTAATTATAGTTTCCGTCGCCAAATTGCAAGCGATCACTTTCAGTTTTTCTATACTTTTAGGTTAAAATTGACCAGGAAGAAAATTAATCGCTGTTCATATTCACAATGAGGCACGATAGTTAGACCATATCGCAATTCCAAATCACAGTGAATTGTGGAGAAGTTTTGACAAAATCTAACACAACTCCTGCAACTTGCTGTAACTATCCCATAATGCACTATACTCTGGAAGTGCGATATGGTTTATTTTCATGCATCTCAAATAGTGTTCTATTTTCTCCTGTTTTTGCATTCAATGTCACCCTGATCCATGTTACCGTAGCATGTTGGAAGTGTACACCACAGAGAGAGAAATGGAACACTATTTGAGGGGCAAAACACGTCTCGCAGATATCTCGCTATCAACGAGACCTCAGCGACCATTTGCGGCTAAAGTCTTTATTATAATACAATGCATTGAATTGTTATTATTTGCTTAACAATAGTTACGGTATAATCGTAAATCCATTCTCCACTGTAGACGATACAATACACTGTACACCACATACGTATCGTGCCGAGCGTTAAAGGTTTTCTAACACACTTCAGCCGTGATAAGTGGAACATTCTTTTTCTTCTTTTGCGCGTATGTTGACGTCACTTGGACGATTCTTCTAAATTCTTGTTACAATTGCAATCATTTTATGTAACTTTAATTTACATTATTTTTGTGACAGTCTTTGAGGCCCAGGAGCAATATTCTACACATGACCATTGTATGTACATGACGTCAGATAATCAACAAACACAATATTATTATTTTTTAAAGTTTGAACATATTACTATTACTAAGACGTTAACTCGTGTATTAAACTTTCGCTTTGGCAATATAAATTATTTCATTTGTTTTTAAATAAGTAAATGGAGCACATCACAATCATTGTAAATATTTATAATAAATTTTTCTGATTTTTTTTATTCATACAATTGCATATTGTTATTTATTCCGTACCCTAATGACGCGACTTTGCTGAAAAATCCCTTGGGCGAGGGGTGTGACACTCAATACGCAACTGGATTGCCAAATTTAGCATGAATATGAAACGTCGTATATCTATGTACGTATCTTTCACATAAAAATGTCACCAAATCGCGCCTTTAAAGGGAAAGTCAAGGCTAACGACATAATACTTCCAGCTAAATAAGCCCGGCAAATGTAAGAACATGCAATTTACAGTTTTTTATATTACTTTCCAGTCTCTAGATATTCAACTTTTCTTCAATTTATGTACTCCGCCATCTCGATTCTTCAGCAAAGAATTATGGGTAAAGTATGACATCATCTGTTGAGAAAATGATTTCGGAAGAACGCCCTCAATATAATATGTATGCCGAGACCCGTATTGCATTTCATCGGAAATTGACAGCAACATGGTTATAGCAATATATTTGAGTCACAGTTATTAGCATGATTGATATCAACCACATGCATGTGAATTTATAAGCTGGGTCTCATTGGATTTCAATTTGGCAAGAACAGTGCACGTAGAACGGTCTGTAGCGAACCCTGGACTAAATGTTACATTGTGGATTTCCTAGTAATGTACCTATCATCACCACTGTTATACATTGCATCATATGTCTTGCAAGAACTCTTAACACAGTGGCGGGTCTTGGGGGGGGGGGGGTTCTTTGGGTCCGGTCCCTCCCCCGTTGAAAAAATTATTCAATTTGTTTTTGTATAATATAAAAAAATCATTAACTTAGTCTGGCGATTTTAAAGTTTGCCCCCGCCCCAAAAAAAATTCTGTATCCGCCCCTGTAACATACTTAATTCATAGTTGCAATATTATTGCTAATGTGTGCAAAGACTGACACTGATAAGATTCCAGACCAATTACATTTTCACATCGTGGATATTCTGAATCTGTGCAGCATAAACCTTTGTTGATGTTGTCATAGAACTAGCCAAGATTATCAACGCCCGATCGGTTCAGAGTTCACTGGAGAATCGTCGTGTGAGGAAGCCCAGTATGAATATCAATATTTCGCACACTGGCGTCGGTATGTAAACACAATCATTCTTTACGTTAAGGTAGCGAGAAGGTTTTGTGACGTTTTTAAATAAAACATTCTCTATCTGTTGTCTCGTTCAGAACAGTAATTTAGGTTATATATATCAAAAGACTAAGTATAGAGGTGCAAGTTCCCACAAACTGGACAGACATTGTTTACATAATTATCACGTGACATCAAAAATGGCGAACCTTGTAAAAATGACTAAGTACGCGATTGCGAGAGCACACTGCGGAATTTCCTGGTAAAATTTAAGTTATGCATTGTCCGTAATCAAGTCCATTGAAATGCGTCTCCGATAATCAAAAGACCTATTATTCCGATTTCTATGCAGGTTTGTTTTTTGTCCCCAAATTATGTCATACTTGGCACCTTTAACAGACTATTATTCTGTGACAAAGCATTTTCTTTAAAAACCCAGACATATTTCGCACCATCATTATCTTTTGAACGATAAGTGTGAGTTTGAATGTCCTAGTCCGAACGCACTTGATTTGGCGGCGGTCCCAATGAGTCGTTCTCGATCAAAACTTCAACT